AGTCTACTAATTATACTCACAACTAAATAGTCCATATACAATGCTCCTTAACATAGGTTGTAAATAGGATGATGGTGATGGTGATGATGGTGATGATGGTGATGATGATGATGATGATGATGATGATGATGATGATGATGATGATGATGATGATGACGATGATGATGATGATGATGATGATTAAATTGATGATTATGATGTTGATGAAGATGATAATGATGATGACAATGATCAAAATCATCATGATCATAAGGATGATTATGATAATGAGGAGGAATATTATAATGATTAACAGACATTCTACCTTGAAATTAATTACCAACCAATATCACCTATGCAATGAAATGGGGGACTGTATTTTTTATGAATTATTAATTGCAGTGGAAAGGATTCTAATTCTTTTAAAGGAAAGCTTATAATTTAAAAAAAAAATTACCAAGAAAAGAACTTAAACTTACTTGAGTAAATGATCTGAAACTGATTCGTGGGATAAAAGTTTGCCATCATAAAGTTGTTCTGATGGCCATCGCATGATGTCATCATTCATGCGATATTGCACTGACAACATCCGCATCACGCTATCGCCATGCAGATCCAACACCCGTTCCATCAGTGAAATTGCAAGTCCTTCTTTAGCAGCTCTGAAAAAGTAATAAAATTTTGGATTTTACCCCTTCATTCGACTGTCACTCTCTAGCTTTGATCAAATCATTAATGACAGAGCGTAAATTAATTTCATGCTCTATAAGCACAAGTGTCAATTAGAGGCTTAGGGTCAGGAGAAGTAACATGTCCTGGCATTTTGCAGAAGTTGAAACAATTATCCTGAATTCAGAATGTTAGCCTTCCTACAACTACATAAAATATTTCCTTTTTGTAATAATTTTTTTTTTTGAAGACATAACATATCTTTTAGCTTATTATTACACAAGAAGTTTATATTACAGTATGTAACTGAATTATATCAAATAACATATACTTTAAGAAGAGCACAAAAACCAACTAAAACATATATCATAAGGAAGAACTGTCAAGAAGTGAGCCCTCGTGAAGCTGAGCATACATAAAAAGTTATGCACTGTATAGCTGTAGTCTTTCGAGTTATTTAATTTTCATATTATATAATTTGGATAAATTTTGTTATTGTGACCTCTAAAATTTGGTTAAGTCATGGCTCTTGCCTTTGTTCACCTCAAGGGTATTTCTACTGCACACAGAGGATAAATGGTTTGAGTATACTTCACCACATGTTCACAGTGGACAGGAAGTCCTACCTCATACCTTTTGCCGTCCTAGAAAAGTTAGGACAATGGCTCCAAGAAAATGAGGCATGTGCAGTGTGACAAGTAGATTGGGATTAGCCTGCTAACAAGCTGTTGCCCACTGTCACTGTACAGTTGCAATTGCTCTGGGTGCTCCCTAAGTACATACTCTGCTTGTGCAGGGGCCCCCAGTCTTCCACGTCTCGCCGGAGTCTCTTGGATTCTCGGATTACAGCACACAAGCAATAACTTAACCTAGCAAAATATAACCCATCTCCCTCAAATTCATACTATTTGCATGTTTTCACTTTTTTTATTATCATTGTCTCATGGAAATCAGTGCCGATGGGTATGACCATGTACAGCAAAATAAAATTAAATGTGTTAAGAAAGCTCATTTAACCAGATTTCCTGGAAGGAATTTCTTTAAACTTGGGACCCCTGCTTATGAGACATCAGGGGTGGTACCCACCTTTTAGAAAGTAAAATAAAAAAAAAGAAAAGAAAGAAAAGAAAATTGATCGCCCAAAATGCGTCAGAAGTTATTTTTGGGTGTCTACAACACAAGAGTTTGGGGGGGGGGGGTCATGCGCCCAGCCCCTCTAGTGTAGTGTTTTGATCAGCCCCATTTTCGCCCCCCCCCCACTTTTTGACATATCTGGATCCACCCCTGGACATGGGCAGTTAAAGACGTCTAGGGAGATAAGTGTTGATGGTTGTCGTGAAAGAGGAAGGTCAAGTACGACTTGTGGTGAGGTCACCACTGCTAACAATTTACATCCTACCGGGTAAAGAAAGTTATAAATATGCCATTAAGCTAACTTGTCTAGCCCATGCTAGCATGAAAAACACAGGTAAATTGAATGACGAATGCACTACAATTAAATCATATAGATTTGCAAGAGGTTCGACTGCCCTGATTTTGTATGCACGCAATGAAACATTGAATAAGTACTACCACAAAATTACAAAGTTGGTAACACGTGTACAATGGACCTTTCCGCTAAGCCCCGCCCCTTGGATTTTGTTGCCAAGGTCCCACAAAAGATAGCGTAAATGTACGCAAACACGTTCATTTGCGGGGCACATGTGTGTTTGTGGGATAAGCGTGTATTCTTAGCAATGCTCTGATTGGCCAATTGTTAAGTTTGATTGAAACTCCGGAATGGTCCATCGTTACATACAATAGAGGACTTTGTAAACTAGCAAAAGTTCACAAAGCATAAACAAGAAAAATAGTCTTCTGGTATACTGACAATTTTTACTGCCTATCGCAACGTGTGTGCTTCATATATAACATGCAATAAATATATTGATACTCATGAAAGCAGACTCTGTTGGTTTTGGTTGGGGTGGACAATTACACTTAAGTTAAATTTTCATTATAGTACAGGGTAATTCGTGCTTTGAGGCAAAAAAGCGCTATAGAAGTACCAAGTAACAAGTAATGATAACATGTTGGTTTTTGAGATCCCATTTTGCCATAATGTTGTAATTTTCAAGTAGCCAAAGTAAAGACTATACCGTTACCATAGAGAAAGAACATTTTTTTTCTGTATGCTTTTACACATTAAATAGTGCAGAGCTATGCCTAGAATCTAAAGCAGTTCATGACACAAAAAATTGTAGAAATAGAGCATTGCTCTTTTAAACTTTTATATTCCCAAGAGACTTCACTTTATATTCCACATAGGTTTAAATATGTATGAACAAGCAGAATTCTGTTTCTATTAATTCAATTATTATTGTGGTGTGGATAGATATGTTTGCCTGCCATGTTCTAATTTCAGAGGTGAACACAAAGTTATTTGCGTACTTGTTTGACTTGATTGTGGCTGGCAGCTGTTGATGGTCTCCGGCGAGTATACACTTGGCAGCGTTGTGCAAGGGGATCCAGCAACTTGCTTCCAGGGCCTAAATGTGACAACGAAAGGAAACGAAAATTACATGAAAATCACCCAGTGGATGTCATCTATGACACATAGGATTTCTTGTAGCATCAATCAAACGTATTAGTATATTTGCAGACTACAACCGTGGACTTTGATACTTCTATTATCAATGACACTAAGTTGGAGTAAAGACAATCAATGCAAAAAGTTTCAAAGTTTTATTATGCTTTTACTATAAACTACATAATTTTTACAATCCATTCAATTTCTTAATCTAAATTATATTAATCATCATTTGTGTAAATAAATGTCTGTAAATATTTTGGATGGTCAGCTTATTGTAACAAATGCAAATTTTATCTACGAATGTTAGCTTTTTCTTGGAATTTTTCCAAAATCATGGAAATATACATAATTTTACTATAATGAATCAATGTAATGATAGGAATACATAACTTAGCAGGTAAATTTCCCCATCTTATATTTGAAAAAATCTCCAAAAAACTGAAATCTATTTATCTGGGCCTCTCTGACCATGAATACTAAAGGCTGCAGCAGATATCCCTCACAGACAACATACATGAAATTTAAAGGTTGACTTTAATTATTTCCACACAGTGTAAGAGTCTACGAACCTTATTTTTTTTTCTCTGGTCTTTCAATACAGAATTTATAATGAATAATGTGCAACACTTCCCCCTTCCCCTGGGGAAATCATACCTAGTTGTGCATGTAATGCGGCACAAGCCAATTTCGTTCCAAATCATTCACAACCAAACAGGTATGTATACATCTGGATAATTTAGATAAAATTCCCTGCCTAAGGACACAAAGCAAATTGACCAGCATCAATACAGTACATAAAACTGCTACCAAGCTATAAAACACACTCCACACATGTACATAGCGCCCTCAACTTGTACTAACCTGAGCACATTCATCCACAACCACCAGATCAAAGTGTTCTTTAGGTACGTTATATAGTGGACCCTCTCGTGAAGCACTTGTTGTTGTTGCCAAGACAACATCTGCATGTGTTAGAATTTCACGCATTGCTTTCGCCTCCCTTTGCTTTAACTCTTGGCGGAGGTGTTTGGACTCTGTGCGAAGTTTTCGTCTCTCTTCCTTATCTTTACTCTTAGCCATACTTGCCTGTAACAATATTGCTAGATGACAAATTATTTAATTTCAGTTTGTTCTACTTATGAATAAAATGTTTATATTATATTGTATTTATATTACTTATTCAATACTCTGCATTTTGTTGAAAGGTTGTCAGGAATCCTATCTGAAGATTCTATTGTGCTCTTTCATTATATCATTCTCCATATTTCAGCTAATCCAGAAAAGTAATACACTTTCTCCCTCTTTGTCCCACTCCTTTTTGTCCTTAAATTACATTATTTTTAAATTTAGGTGTAAATTATAAGCATTGTATAGAGACTTGCTTATAGAGCATCACAGGTTTGTTTAATTATGAAGCCAGGAGAATGGATTTGTTTTGGTTAAGACAAGATTGAACCCTGGATCTTGAAATTGGAAGGTGAGCACTTTAACCAGCATGCCACAGATCCATTCAAAACCACTGTTCCATTTCTAAAATAAATGGAATGACAAACCTGAGTTTTGTCAATGTCTCTCCTAACATCCTGTACGATCTTGGTAGCTTCGCTGACTGATAAGATGGCATCCAGGGAGTACTTCTGGATTCCACGGTGTGCTCGAGCCGGATGACCCAACCTAATTATCTTAACCTTTGACTGGGCTAGTCTTTCAACAAGGTTGTCAACTGCAACATTTGAAGGAGCACAAGCTAAGACCTATAATTATGGAAAATACCAATTTTTAAAATGTGATAAATACAATATATTTATATTTTTTTACAAGTGTTATAATTTGATAGGATATAAGATTCAATAATAAAAATACAGGAAGATTTTATACAGTAATATATTATGTAGACAACAATGATTTTATCATTATTACCATGATTGTTAGATTCAGAATCAGCTATGCTAATTAATCTGCTTCACTCACTGGGAATTTTTCAGCCATAGAGACCAACATTGAATATAGGCTGTTCATATTCTATTATTACTACTAATAATATATGAATTTATACTGAGCATTTCAAATGTCAGGGGATACAAGCATTGGCAATGTTATTAGTTACCCTGGTCACTGGATACATAAATTTGAAACCAGTACAAAAAGCAATTTTCTCCACTCCCTGGGGTTATACCTAGTCATACTGCAATTGGCAGAGCCTAATAATACATTCTATTCCAAAACAAACTACATGGTAGCCATTTATACTCCTGGGTGGAGGGAGACAATTGTAGGTTAAGTGCCTTGAAAAAGGTTACAATAAATTCATAAAGAGCTTTGAACCCTGACCTTAGGGTTGAGCACATAAACTGCAACCATTCCTGCCGACTACTCCTATTACTACTAGGCTAAGGATATTTACTTTAGAATGGAGAATATAAATATAGATGAAAGACATAACGCAAGGGTACAAACAATGTGACCAGCATTGGCTTAGGACTGACAACCTATGAATTGGAAGCCCAACACCTTACCACTGTGCCACAATATCTATTTTCAATCACAAACATAATGTAAACTGCTGTAAAAATTTAAAAACACATTTATAACAAGGTGTGCAGTGACTATACCTTCATTTTGCGTTGAACTGCTTGTTGGATGACCTCGATGATTGTCGTTGTCTTGCCCGTACCGGGTGGACCATGAATCACAGCAACCTCACGTTGGCATAGCGAGAATCTCACAGCCTCTTGTTGCGACTCATCTAGTTTCTCGTTGATAAAACGCAATTCTGTTCCTAGAGGGCAAAGTGGGTATATGATTTGATTATGTGCTCTTATTTTCAACAAACAGTTATACATCCCCAAGGGACAGTGTGGTATACGCTTGAACTTTCCTTTTTTCATCTTGTATGAAAACATAAACATAAATCTATAGGGTACAACTAAACGGTGTCCTTAACGGTGTCTTAAAGGGCGATTTTTGAGTTCAAGCTTCTATTAAGCAATACATAGTACAATTAATTACAACCTTATTGGTAAGATTCTTTATGCTTTATTGTTAAGAATAATGTAGTTTGTAGTTTTTTTTTTTTTTAATTTGAGACAATTATTATTGTCTCAGATTAAATGAAAAGTTGAACCCATTTTGGTATCGTCACCAATACTTAGAAAAAATGTATAGTACAAGAGTACATATAACAACAAGCATTGATGTTTCAAAATGTTACAATAAATAGTTATTTCAGAGTTATTGCAAAGTAAGATATTTTGTAAACTGAAGGCCAAACAACTATTTTTATAGTTAAACACCCCAGTTTCACAGTTAGATTTCCGGAAAATGAAACTTACATTTTCCCAGTGAAACAGTTTACAAACAGAAAGTATTCTGATTTGGTGCCTTAGGGATAGAAGTTGTTGCTACACTCAAATAAATTCATGTGGTAGATTTTATCACATTGTAACCTAGTTGATCCATTAATATTCTAGTTTTCAAACATAATAAAGCAGAAGTAACCTTGTCTGTCTGCTGCTTCTGCATCTCCTGACTTTATAGGGGGTGGGGTAGGGTTTGAACTTGGAGTCACCTCTCCGAATAAGACATCTATTAAATGGGAAGCTGGACCTGGCTGGTGAGATTCCAAAGCTGCGAGTGCTCTATAGAAAAAAACATGGATGTGAATTAAAGTGCAGGTCCATTAAACAACTAAAAGGTAATTAGTAATCATTTCCAATGCACTAATGGAAAATTATTGCACAAAGGCACCAATTACTGTAATAATTTTATAAATGCATGGAAAATACTAAATTGCCCTAGTTTCAAAACATATAGCCATAGAAATTCTAGTAGGTTCATTCCTTGAAATGGGCATTAAAAACTATTCCCATTCCAACCGTTGGGATTTGTTTTGACTTCTTAGTATCCATATACAACTAAGAATTCAGAAAATTATTTGAGATAAAATCAAATTATGTAAGTTTATTTGGAATACAGTAGTGTCTTTTCGTATCTTTCTATACACATTGTCATAAGCCTATAAGGCTAGCATAAAAACATTTCACACCTAACCTGTCTCCACACCTGGAAATAGTAATGTATGGCATTAAACCAATCTTTCAAATTTATATCAATCATTATTTATATTATTATCAATGTGCAAAAACTCATAACCATTAAATACTTAGTTAAAGACAAATGTGCTAAATGCTTATTTATCACTTACAGCTGAAAAAGTTAATATATTATAGCCAATGACATACCAAAACACTGTGAGTAACGCTCCCTGGGAAGTAACACCCCAAATGAGGATCGGTAAAGTGTTTCATTAAGCCAATGCGCCAAACCAATTGTCACGGACAGTATCATCCCCTGGGGTTAGGGAAATAATTTATCAATCCTATAAGTAACATCCACATCCTTTTGCCTAACTCTCCTCTGAGAGACAAACCCACAGCATTAGAGGTGACAATCCCTAGGGACGTGATGTATTTCACTGAGTCAATCCCATAACCATTAGTGGTGATACTCCCCGGGGAAAAGATGTATATTACAATTGCATCACTCAAAACTGTTAATTTTGATTCATGCAGGTAAGTATCAACATAAATTAACTTCTGAGATTCAAAACTCATTTGTCATAAGAATATAGATATGAATATTAACATAAATTTAATCAAGCTGGGATTTTATCAGTCTGATGTACAGCATGTAATAAATACAATAATTGTGCATTTGTAATGTTCCATTACCTATAAACCAGTTGAAATAAATTATAAGTAAATAAATATATAAAAATATAAAGAATTTACAGAAATCGGATATTGTAATCCTGCTGAGGGAGGCTTCAGTAGTTCATAAAGGCTTACCCAAGGCAGTGTTCCTGCTACTGCTAAGAATAACATAACAGCATGCAGTCTCATAGATCACCATTTTGTAGGTTGCCCCTTAAAGGAGGTTAAATATACATTGTGTTGTTATTGCTACATAATATTCTTTTTGTTTATTATTAACAATATCATTATCAATCATTTTGATACAATATTCATTTTCTAGTACTTAGTTAAGTACGTGCCTGCTGAAATAAAGATAGAAACGGTTCTCTTATCATTGGTTGGTACTCGGATTACAAAGATAAAGATCAGTCAAATATGAATTTTGAATCGCATTAATAGTCATGACATAATTTTTACCCCAAAAGTAAATTTGAAATAAAGTTCAATTTGACCTTTAAGCTTTATTGTGAAATTTGTAATGCAACAGACAGGATACAAATGTTGAGTCCTCCGTGTATGTCATGCAGAAGATTCTGTGCTGAAGGATTGTTCTTTTTTCTAATGGGCCCAGTTTCTATTGCCAGTAGAAACACAACTAACAATAGGATTCTACTAAAAATCAAGATAAGCCGTTCTTTTATCATTCATTGGCTGGCAATCAGATTAAAAGAATCTATTTTTTATGGGCCTATTTCCACTGCAACAGGAGATACTTCTTCTAAAATACCAATAATCGTTCCTGGAAACCATTTTTCTTAGGTAGTAGAAACACACCCTTATACATATACAATGTCTAACTTAAAAAATGGAATGCTGTTTGCCTTCTTTAAAATCATTGGTGAGATTTTTTGCTGCAAATATCAGCTACATTCACTCACACACACACCAGCTAACAGTTAGCCGGATTCAAATAAATAACATACACGCTCACAATTGCTTTCACAAGAAAATCCACGATCCAGATATCAAGAAGATGATGACGGTATCACTGGCCAATCGAAACTAGAAATGCGTAGTGATTGGTTAATAATAGAAACACGCTCAACTTGCTAATTAATAGTGCTCGATAACTGACCAGGCGTTCCCACATGAATGCTAACACTTAGCTCCCATTCTGGATACTAGGGCTCTATTGTGAACCTAACCATCATGATTTTTTTATGCCTATGAGTCCATCCCTCAGCTTATTATTCTATAATTTATTCATTTATTTTAAAAATATTTACACAGGATGATCCTTCCAGCTGAGCCCAAACAGGCAGCCAATATTCAAGGGTCTGTTAAATAAATTCTCATTAGGGCTAAGAAATGGTGTTTATTCTTTCAGCAAGAGAAAAACAATAGCAGGGTTTAAACTCAGGTACCTGGGAAGTGAAGGTAAGCCTCTTAATCTACTATATCAACTGCAGCTCAAATTCACACAAATACAGTAGTTGTAGAATCACTTTAAATATATATAACTGAAACATCACATTCGATACAAATATTTGACAGTACTTTGAAGATATTATTTCAGAATAAATTTCTTGCTCACTTTTTAATTCTTCTAAATGTGACATCATCGGAAAGTTTATTCAACCGGTAAACCCCTGAATCGTCCAATGACAGCAGATCTTCACCAGAATCAAACGCAACTGTGATTAGTTTATCTGTAACACGTGACACAATACCAGATAGCTGATTGGATCCTGAGTTATCGCCATTGGAGGATGATACACCAACAATGACACCTGAAATAAAAATAATACCTTAAGTTCATTTGTACCAATGTGTCAAACGATGAGCAAAACTGAAAAATAAAATGTAAAATTTCTTGTTACTCGAGTCTATATGTAAATAACCTAATTAGACATAACTTACTTACAAACGTGCATGTATATAATTTACTAAAATATGAAATTCAAATTTTAAAGTAAAATAAACTCAACATCAAGTCTTTTTGCTACAAACTACTGTACCAAAGCCTTTATTGGAAAATTACGTCAAAATAATAATTTTGGTTAATTATAAAACCAAAGTGAATCCACATTAATCCTCATCTGTATTGAAAAATATAAAAATTCTGATTTGCTGTGATGTGCTGCATAGTCTTATTTATAACACATCACAATACGTTAGTATGATCTATCTGCCACATGAACATATGCACAACTTTATTAGGATCCTAACCTTTTATGTTGACTAATGATGAAATGATATTGAGATAAGATCAATGGGTGTATTACTCAGACTTAAGCAGACACACAAATCGTAAGTCGATGTCTTATGGATAAAATCAACTCTTGTTAGTTTGCGTTATAACAGAGTTTTTATGACAGTAATATGTAAAATTTCAGTGTGCGTGTCTAGACAGTTTCTTTCAAGTACATTTGAAATACACATGACAACATTGGCTCGTTCACCAAATTTTGAATAGGATAGGAGTATTTCGGTGTGAATCCCACCAAGAATAACCCACTAAGTCCAAAGACTTTTTCCAGTGGGGTCCTTCTGGTAGTGAATTGGAAAGTACACCGAGAAACAATTCCCTACTCATTTCCAAAGAATGTACTGCATTTTTTAACATGCACATGGTGGTCCATTGCACATTGGACCAATGGCTTAATGTCTCATCCGAAAGACAGTGCGCTATCGTAACTTTTATTTCAGCCCCCCCGGCTGAAACACAAGGAGTGCAGTGATGGGAATTGAACCGGGGACCTAGAGACATTCACGGTTCAGCGCACACACAGTGGCTACCACCAGTATAGCCGACTGAGCTAAGCTGCTCTCAATAAACAATATGTTATCAGGGGAGGGGACAACCTACCTCAGAAAAATCACCACACTATTTATAAAACCCTGATAATGATTGTTGACTCACTACCTAGGAAAGGTATCATTGTTGTTAAATGTAATTTAATTATTTTCTATCAAGGGAGGAAAATTTATAAATTTATATCATTTTTGGCTCTTTTTACATAGGCATCAAAGTACATTCAAGCCTTTTAAATATTAAAAGATTTAGCCTGTAAATCACAAAAGGAACATATTTTCAATGCCTCATGTTGAAATTGATGAAAACATTTAGCTAACTTTTAACTTGAAATCTTAATGCAGTTGGATATCAAAGGATTTACTTTTAATCAGTGGGAGTAACAACAATAATGCAACACAGATTTAGAAGTACTGTACATTCTTTTTAACTTAAATTTAAATTAATGTATCATATTTTCACAGATAATGTCTATGTTGACCAATGAACTTCAAAATATAATTTAAATTTCCTCCTCTGCACATAATTTATTATTCATTTGAAAATCAGAATAAGAAAATAGTTTTCTAGCAAGACACATACAGTACAGTACTAACTTCACAATAGACACTTAAAATTATTGGTGTAGTAATTACATTAAGGGCAACCGTATTCAAAAAACAGAATAACATTAACTACTCTATGATTGTCCAGGAAAAAAAATTATCCTTTAAGAAAAAGAAAGTACAATAAATGAGATAATAAATCAACAGACAAAAAAAACCCCCTGGCCATTACATACAATCCTTTAAGTGGACATGTGGCTTGTGGAAAAATACTTGTTTCTAACCTGGTTAGAATGCACTGGTTTTATGCACGATTCAAATCAATTCTACTACTACTAATAATAGTAATAATAATAATTCACAAACGGGGCCCAAATTTTCTGATAAATTTTAGGACGAGAATCAGATAATTTCCCAAAGCGAAATAGTACCGTATCGATTTTGTACATGGCCTACAGTAGGCCTATCCATTTCACACAAAAAATGGTTACCGGCTAGGTCAACAAAACTGTTGTTTTGGTGTTAAACACATTACATTGTTGTGCATAATATTGCATGATGGGATAAAATTTTTTGAGGGAATATTTAAGATCATTTTTTTTTAGAAATTTAAGTGCTGCGGAAACACAGCATTATATAGCGCATATTACGCAATGCCTCTTTTCATTTTACACTAAATTATATATAAAAAGCACGATGATTTAACATTAACATAATAAGTTTTGTTTGGCAAAACAGCGCTAGGTCTCAAAGGGTCAAGGGTTATGCTTGTTTTATGATGACTTTCAATTGTGGGGAGACAATGCCACCCTGATATTGTCCCACAGATTCTACAAAAGTTGCTTTAAGCTACGTTCACATTAAGCCCGAATTAAGCACAAAAAATCGTGAGTTGCTACGTTTTTTGAACGCTGAGTTCACATTGCGCACAGAACACGACGGTTGTTCGGGTTAAGCATATATGCATTCGATTGGTTCGAACCAGCCAAGCTTGTTGCTGATTGGTCCAAGAAAAAAAAACGTACGATTTCAGGATGCAAATTGCTCTCAGATCCATCGGTCCAGATCCGGAGTCCGGATTAGAAATCATTCGAATTTGATGTGAACGGTCCTATTCTTTACCGCTGAACCTATTTTTCACGATTTTTTCTCCGGACTCCGGACTGGAATCCGGGCTTGATGTGAACGTAGCTTTAAACACAGTAAACAAAAAAAAGATGAGACGATGTACCTGGAGAAAAGCTATGAGCTGGTAAGGAGCCATTGGTGTTGGTTTGTGGACCTTCAAAAACAACTAGCTTCCGCCCATACAGGCCAGTGTATTGACTGGTGATGTGCAATTTAAGTAGACATACTCCCCTTTGTTGCAGTTCTTTTAGAGGGAGATTCTCTTGGAACACTCTGAAAAAAAATAAGTGTATAGTCTCATTTAATAATGGACATTTACATGATCGAGGTAAACAATAATATTTTTATACTTAAATTAAGATCTGTACACACTATCAAATTTGATGTAACAAATAACATTGATATGCCCATATTTGGATGCAATATGACATCCTCATGCCCATATATAGGCACATCACACATATTCATCAACATCAATGTTTAAAATTTTATTTTCCCAGCATGTGAGAGTTAGACTGTTGAGGGGCCGTACTGTAGCTGTAAGGAGGTATCCTGCGAGACCAGGCAGTGCGATCAACAGCAACTTCAGGATTGAGGTACACAAGTCTCCTCTCACGACATGGCGGGACGTTGTGAAAGGAGACCTCTGCAGGGTAAACCTCAATCCAGACGTTGGCGCTGATAATTTTACCTTCCCAGCATATGCTGGTACCCATTTAAACTTCTGGGTAGAGAGGGACAAACATAAAGTGTCTTGCCTAGACACAATTGGACTTGCTCAGCGAGGTTTACGAATCCCCGACCTCAAGGTTGAGAGTCTGAGACACAACCATTGTGCTGTCCGCTTTCTTTTTCACAAATATATTATAATCATCATACAGTTAATAACAATTCTGAAGCTTCCCTCATACAGTATGTATGATTCCAGAGGGAATATACAAATGCCACACAGGATCTTCACACTTTAATCAGCGCCTGGTGATCGAGTTGCTTCACATTCAATGTGAAATATCAGCCTCCATCAACATCTGTATTCTGTGTCCGACCACAGAGCAGAAAGTTCACATTTGTACAATTAGTAAAAAGCTCATATTTTAAGTGAAAATGCTTATTGTTTGGGAGATTTCTCTCCAGGTTTCATTTGTAATAGAAGAGCAGCAATTTGGCTGTCATCATGTCCATAATCGAAGATTTTTTTTATATTTTTGGTTAAGATACTGTTTGTTTACATATGGGGATTGGATATACACATACCTATGAGGTGTCCTAGTCATTCTCAGTTTATATAATTCTTGAAAGTGTATTCTAAATGTAGATGTTTGTGTAAGGTGCTGATTTAAAGTAACCCAATCAAAAGTCAGATGTAAATCTTTTAAACACCACATATTTCACACAAAAACAATACTTTTTGAGGCTGTTTATACAACTAGTGGAATAACATAATCATCACCTTCTTTAATAGACACATACCAAACTAAGTAATGCAAGACCCCCTACTTCAGACTAATTTTTATTGCAACATAAGTTCTTGAGCCTAAAAAAAAACAAAACCATAGGCTCCCAGCATGAGCGTGTGTCTATTGCCTTACACTGTATTATGTTTACCAAATTATCTGAATTGGGATTCGGTGTTCTCTTTGCTGTTAAGAATCTGCGACAATGACAAATGACGTTAAAATCTTCTTGTTCTTCGAAGAGATGTTAAAGATACTATATCTGCGTATGGTACAAAATGTTTATTGGGTTGAATAACATTGGCGGTACAGTAGGTTGATGGATGTTCAACTGATGTTTATTGTAGTTTCAGTAGTCAGCTAGACAAGACTTTGTTTACACCTTGTTTAGCATATTTTATTGAAATGATGAAATGGCAATAAGACAGTAGTCTTTGACCTAATTATCGGAGGAGGCCGAACTCGATTCGTTTTCTAATAGAGAGCACCCCCTACCTTGTGGTAGTACCCATCATGCACTTCCACCGGATTTACGCACATGGCACTACTGGATCTACTCTTCTTGGGTTAACTGCCAGATGACAAAATAGTGAGACACAAAAACATGTACATTTAATTTTTTGTATTTCATTCCTTCTCATCTAACAGCAAATAACTTGCCCTTTATAAATGAAAGTGCTCTAAAAAAATTGTTCTTTATTAGTTATATTTAGATATTATAAAAATTCAAGAACATAGGCCCCTGGAATTGGAAGGGAAGTTAATTGAAACATAGACTGCTCCACTGTATTCTGCACAAGACTGTAATTAGTTTAATTAAGGACAAGATTGTGTCCGTATAATTTTTTCCTTCATTGATAATTTATTTCTGGCCAGAAAATATGTTTGATAGATAAAAGTATCTGTTATAATTATTAAAATGTCATTGCAAATCCCTCCAGATACACAGATAATGCTGTTTTAATACTACAATATGGTTGTATTTTCACAGTTCACATAGCTAAGTGGTGAAAAAATTGCAGTGAGGGCTCATTTTTGTCAGGCTACACTACACTGGACAAATCCATCTCTGTCTTGATGATGCAATGCTGTCTGAATGCCTAATATAAAATGGATAGTGTAATGTATGCTTATTCCATTCATCTGTTCAACAGTTTCTTTTATTATATGTCTAAAGACACCCTACTTCATCTGACAAAGTACATATGGGTCACAGCTAATCAAAGACAGAGCACTCAGGGTTTTTACTTTTTCAACTGGCATAGGAGCATGAATGAAAAATTGACTATGAATGACGTCAACTGTTGACAGACCTGCATCAACATACAAACATCTATCAATGCAATCAAGGTAAGCCATTTGTGAGACGAAGCTGGGATTATGGGTGAGTTACAACCTATATTACCAAGTCACGAACAATTCCAAATCCCTTGTTTGTTATAAAATGTGACTTTTGTATTTTGACAATGTGATATATTCAACCTCTGAAGCATAATCTGCAGAAACAAATTTGAATAATAGCAAATCAATTTAAAATATTTAAATTAGTAGAGGGCCTCAAATCTGAATGTAGGTAAGAATGGCCCCGGAAAAAATGGCCCCGGAAAAAATGGCCCCGGAAATTCCAGAGGGCCTTATTAATTTCAACACAATTCGCCAATAAAATATCAAATATCAGCTACAGAATATTATATAATATTTTTGAAATATGTCTTAAAATATAGCTATTTATTTCATATCATGTAAACAATAGCTGTACTAATTTGTTATTAAGGTAGAAATTCCTACGGAAGCTGGAGATTAGTGTTCATCATCGTATATGTTCAGTAATTGAGGCATGTTCTTCAAGCTGTTTTTTTTCCCCAGATTAAACTTATACCAAATTTAAATGCCAATACCTACCGTAATTGATTTGAGTTATATACAATATAATTCAATATCCCAAATACTTTGTAAATTATTAGCATTCAATTAAAAAGAACTAGGAAATATTTCCTTACCAACTAACAGACATACCATAAAACATTTAATAGAAGACCAATGAGCTTAATCTTGAGAAGAAGCCCACATCAAATTTAAGCCCCCCTCCCTCTTTAGTTTTCAAAAGTAGCCTCGAAAAGAAGCTCATATCTTTTTGAGATATTACAGTACATACAGTACATGAATTACAAAGAAACAAAATACATTAAAAACATACTTGGTTTACACAATAGTTAAGTGATTTAATGCCGGTTAATACACTCCATGATACACACTATGTTTACAGTGGCCCTATTTATTGTTTTATAGTAGTAATTCCCAAAATTGATAGCATTCATTTTGAAAAGAAGCCCCCCTCTTTACTTTGCAAAAGTAGCCTCAAAAGGAAGACCGTCTCAAAAAGAAGCCCATCCAAAGTTTGCAAAAATTTAAAGCCCAGGGCTTCTCTTTGACGTTTAAAGGTACTGTGATCTACCATTCTTATTATTTGCCACAGACACTTATTAATAGCAATTTTGTAATTTAAAAAATCTGTGTATCATGGAAATCTGAATTGTTTTGATCTGTGTGTATTTGAAGTTTATAACCTATTGTATCATTTTAAATGTGTAATTTGTTACTATTTATTATAATTTTACCATGAAGGTATAAATCTTTAATGTAGAAATTTAAGCTACAGTCGGTTGTAAAATGGAAATAAATAACTATGATTTGTGATGTAGCAGGTTTTACGCTATGTATCATAAGGCAGACACAGCGAACAACAACAGTTTGCTGATAAATAATGCAAGCAGCAACATTGTAAGCCCCATAGCTGACCTTGATGTCTCTGTAAAGAATAGCAGTAAACAGTCTGATATCAAACTTGTTGAAGACAAAGCGATCATAGCATGTATTTGAATGACTCTCTGGGTGACATTGGCATAGTTTTCTCTTCTAGTTCAACACAATCGACAGATAAATCTACAGTTCAAATCCGTATTGGGAATCGGATAAGATTTTTAGGTCAATTATCCATTTATACTATATCCTCATAATTCATTAGTTCAACATACTTTTAAGGCTTCTTTAACGACTATTGTCATCTTCCTATCACATTTACAGTGACTAGTCTTAACTTCTACATATCTTTTGTGTTTACTTCTCCTTAAGTGGGAATAAGCTCATCCTTGCTGTGATGGTCAATGTCTTTTGGATCTTCTGTGTAAATCTTCTACGTAAACACATTCTAATATTCATGCGGACGGGATTAAATTGGTTTTTCTTTTTGGTTTGTTTTCATTATATATAATGAATCAAAATAACCTGACATTTTCTGTTTCCATTGTTTAAAAAATATCTAAATGATCTGATGTTTTTTTCTTTTCATTGTTTAAAAAAACTTAAATCAATCTACATGAGTATGTAGTTATTAATTAATTTGTTGTGACATCACTTCTGTGGACAGACCAATATTTCCTTGACCAGTGGTCACTCATAAACTTGGAAATAAGCCAACTCACTGGTACTTTAGGCTCGTCCGCTTTTAGATCCTGGTTTACATTTTTTACGATAGACATTAAAAGTATTTAACAGTATCAGTAATACCATTTATTTTAATTTCTTGATGTCCTTAAATGAGAATTAACTCTGAGGGTCAATGTCTTTTGGATCTTCTTTATAGATCTTCTACGTAAACACATTCTATCTAAACGTTCATCTTAATAACCATGCACATGGGGTTATCGGTTTTTTTATTGGTTTGTTTTCATAAAATAAAATCAATCCTGACATTTTCAGTTTCCACTGTTTAAAAAATAACCTATAAAATGATCTGATGTTTTCTCTTTTCTTTATTAT